ACAACATGAAATCTGAGTTGTCTGTAATAATGTTTGAAAACACTTTCTTTACTTGTATTATGAATCAAAGTGGATTCTAATGGTGGGTACCTTACTTTCTTTTTTCTTAAGCAACAAAATATTGATATTAGCTGCTTTCTTTACAGAGTTCCTTGTCCTTCTCATACAAATAAGAAAAGTAAATAGATAATATGTGTATTGCTATAGATAATATGTGTATACTTTGAGATGGGAAGAGTTTAGGAAACATGTACTATTATGTATGTGTTATTAATATGTACAATATTTGACTTTAAATAAATGTTACCAATTTCAATTGTTAATGTATAGAACAGTACATTTAAGAATTAAATTTTCTCAAGTTTTTCTTGGCAAGTACTAAAAATTAATGTATTTACATAGATAAAACTTTTGGGCACTCAAAACCAGTGAGGACATCATTACTTGCCTGAATGATTTAGAGAGAAATGTTGTATGAAAGACATCTGTTTACATGCAAGAAGTCTGTAGGATGTTGGTGGGATTATGGTTAAATGTGTGTTTATATATTTATACTTCATTCCAAGTAGAAAGAAGCACAGTTTCAGTCCTTGGCTTTACTGTCACAGAAATAAATATCAATGATAGTAAAATGCTAGCCAAAATGATTTTTGTATGTAAGACTGGAGCTGTATTTTCACAGTCAAAGGCCTCTGGACTTAATCCAGTCCAGTATTAAGGAAATAAATGCCCAAACAATAAACATTGTTCCCTGAAGGAAAGTAATTTCCTCCCCTAGGCTACACTAGATGGAGAAAAAATGCTAGAATTTCATCAGTGCTCCTCATCAGACAAAGAAAATCATGTTTGGGGCAGATTGACTGTGTAAAAGAATACTGCAGACTCCTGAAGATGCAAGCAGGTTTGAAACATCATTTTGCTCTGGGATGAACCTGAAAAATACATCTGTATACAAATCTCTGTAGAGCTGTGTTCTGTGGAATGACTAGAAGGAGTTCTGCACATGCCCAAATCTAAATTTTTCAGCTGATTCTAATATGGAGAAAGAGTCAATCACTATTTTTCTCCAATCTAAAGTTATGGACAGTTTAAATCTGATCCAAGAACATGATCATTAGTAACTATGTAGATCAATCTTAGTTGCTGAGGTGATAGAAGAAACTGGAGCCATTTGAGTCTGGTGGCTTGAAGCTTCTGAAAAAGTTTGCCTCCATCTAAGGCATTTAAAGACCATAAACAGTGATTATGAAACATAGCCATAATAATATATTGTTATGAATGATATTGCTGTTCTTCATTTAGCATTTTTATTTAATATAGCACACATTATTTTATTAAGTCCTATTTATGGGTGTTCATCTTGATTCTCTTTGTATCCCAAGATATGTTCTCATCTTTTTTAAGCACACTACTTGCTGTGGGAGTACGGTGTGGGGGTTCTGAACTCACATGCTCTTTTGTATCTTGGTTGCCTTTGTGGTCTACTTATCAAGTCTCCCTTTTTATGTAATGCATACTTAGTTCTGTCCCCCTGGCTCCTACCTATCACAGTTTCCTCAAGACACACATCTTTCCTTGGGCCAGACACCATGATCACTAAGTAGGGGAAAAAAAATAATCAAAACAACCAAACCCCAGCAAATTATCATATAGGCTAAAAATCTCTAGAACTACTGAAATAGTAGTTAATGGTTTGAAAATGGTTTTCCATAACAATGTGACTAATATAGACCCTACAGGATAAGAAATGAGACATATTTACTTCAGACAAGTATTTTTTCAGTACAGTTGGCCAGTCAGTCAAATATAATCAGATTTAAGAAAACAGCAGTGGGTACTCTGGTGATGTTGTTTTGTCCTGCAACTAGGCTGCCAGAAGGTGAAGAAAGACAAATGATAGAATAAGAAACCCTGCCGATAACCTTAACAGGAGCTGCTGTGTTTCCCCTGTTCCCCTAATCCCTGTTCCTTAATTCTTCAAGCACATGTCATCCATACTCCTGAATAAACAAGACCCTGAAATTCTTCCCAACATTTCTGTTTTAGCAGGGGAGTATTTGATCAGCCATGCCCACCACTGGCTCTGTCTTAGCAACTACATTCTTTCTGGGCCAGAGGCTGTTCTGCTTATGTCAAACTCATCAATCATAAAATGAGTCTTAATGCAAAAATAACAGTGTCAGTGAACAGGGAATGCTCTGAGGTCCATTAGTGCCTTCCTGATCAAAGGTGATGGGATATCTGAAAATAAACACTCACTCTAAAAGGAAATTTTTTCTGTAGGATGCTGTTATGGCTTAGAAGAGATATAAAGGACGAGTGCTTCCAAAAATCTCCTTCTGCCCAATCTGGTCCTCTTATTTTACCCTTGAGAAGAAGGAGAGCAAATGAGCAAATTCATCAAGATTGCAGTTATAAAACTTTAAAAAAATACATTCATCTGCATCTTATTTTGAAATGGTGATTTCTTTCAAGATGCGCTCCACTTAGGATAGACCTGTTCCATTATATCAGCAGAAAATTAAGGCAAGCTCCTGCATCTCTGTACAGAAACTGAAAATTCAAAATTATTGAATTATCCAAGTTAGGAAAAATCTTTTTCTTATTAGTTTAAAAAGGAATGGCTGAAACATAGTGGTTAATAAAGAGCAAATAATACTATTCATTTTTTTTTCTAGGGAAGGCATCTGCTGCAATTAAGAAGTGAAAAGCTTAAAACAGATAAAAAGGATATAATTATTTCATAGCATTAAACTGCAACTTTGCTGAAATAGGCATACATTCAGGGTTGAGCCTGAAAAGGGTTCAAAAATTGTACAGGATTCCTTACTTATGCATATCTATAGTTTGGTTAATTTTTCTTTTTTTTTTTTGGATTAAATTTACAGATATTATAGAACAAGCATACTCTCTACACTTGATTTGTAAGGCTAGGTTCTAGGAGATCTTAGAGCACTTAGAGCAGTCACAATTTCAAATGATCGCCTAGTGGTTTTGGATGAGCCTGTGGTATCCAGGATGTTTATATTGTTTGATCTTGCACAGCACACTAATTAAGTACAAATATCAAGCACTTAATTAAAGTTAATGTTGATGTTTTGTCCTGCATTCATCTCAGCATTAAGGAGCAATTAAATCTCTAAGTGACTCAAGAACCATGAATTTCAGAGATAATTTTATCATTTTATACTTAGCATGTGTTACAAACACCCTTCCTTCCTGAATACAAGTTTCTTGAAAGGAAGATGTGTGCTGTCAGAGTTAAGTGCACTCAGGTGAATATAGCAATTATAAAGGTGACGGAATAATGGCTCTTATTAAAGACAGTCTTTGAGCAGCCATCTAACAGTGTATTTTTCTGTCCTGGTTTCGATGAGGATGGAGTTAACTTTCATTGGAGTATTTCATCACATATGATGTCATGTCCAGGGATATGGGGGGCAGGCTCCCTCGGGTAGGTGTGGGATTTCCAGGTCCATTCTGGGTGTATGTTGCTGTGGGGACGGTTGCTGTGCTCAGTAAGCCACTTCTGCATTTTACTCTTTTTTTTTTTTTTTTTTTTTTTTTTTTTTTTTTTTTTTTTTTACTCACTATTGTTCCTGTTGTTTTCTTGTTATATTTAGTCAATTCTTTCTTTTTATTCAACCTACGAATTCTCTTCTTTTTTTGTCCCTCCCCTATTTCACCGGGGAGGGGGGAGGTGAATGAATGGCCAGATCATCAAATTCTGGTGAAATGTGTAGAGGCTACTGAACTGGAGGAAGTTTATGTGAATGCCACTGAAGGTTTTTATTAGGAAAGTGTGAACTAGTTAAGGTTAAGATAAAAATAAAAATAAGTATACTTGCATTCCAACTCCAAATGAATCAGAACCAAATTATTCTGAGCTTTAAAGACATTTGGTAAATTGTTTAAAAAATATGTCTATAAATCCTAATTATATTTCTTTTCTGAATGGCATAATGGCTTCTACAGTCTATTTATGGATGTCATAACCTTTAAGATGTCCTACAAGTCATGGTATGCTCTGCTGGGGGTACTTGGCAGGTTTCTGTGTTCTAGTCATGAAAGATAAGCTCAGGAATATTTAGCAGAAGGGAGGATGTAATTTACTATCAGGTAGGAATGTGAATATGCATTACACAGACTTATTGCACAGAATCACATATTATCTGAGATCAGAAGGGACCTCTGGAGATTGTCTAGTCCAACCCACAACTCAGTGAAGGTTGCTCAGGGCCACATCCAGTAGAGTTTTGATTATCTCTAAGGATGGAGACTATAACCTGTCTGGGAAATCTGATCCATTGTTTGATCACACAGTAAAAAAAGATAAAAAGAAAAATCTTGTCTAAATGAAATTTCCTGTATTTCAGCTTCTGCCCATGGACTCTTATCCTTTCTTTGGGCGCAGCTGAGGAGCCTGGGCTTGTCTTCCTCCCAGACCATTGGATATTTTTACACATGGATAAGATCCATCATGGACATGAGCTTCAACAGGGCCAAGTGCCAGATCCTGCACTTGGGCCACAACCACCCCCTGCATGGCTACAGGCTTGGGGAGGTGTGGCTGGAGAGCTGTCTGGAAGAGAAGGATCTGGGGATTCTCATTGACAAGCAGCTGAACATGAGCCGGCAGTGTGCCCAGATGGCCAAGAAAGCCAACGGCATCCTGGCTTGTGTTAGAAACAATGTGACCAGCAGAAGTAGGGAGGTGACAGTTCCCCTGTGCTCTGCACTGGTGAGGCCACACCTGGACTATTGTGTCGTTTTGGCACCTCAATACAAGAGAGATATCGAGGTGCTGGAGCGAGTGCAGAGGAGGGCAACAAATCTGGTGAAGGTCCTGGAGAACAGATCCTGTGAGGAGAGATTGAAGGAGCTGGGACTGTTCAGTTTGAGGAGGAGAAGGCTGAGGGGAGACCTCATCTCCCTCTACAGCTACCTGAAAGGACATTGTAGAGAGGTTGGTGCTGGTCTCTTGTCACAGGTAATTAATGTCAGAACAAGAGGGAATGGCTTTAAATTCTAACAGGGGAGGTTCATACTAGACATTAGGAAAAAAAAATTCACAGAAAGAGTGGTCAGACAGTGGAATATGCCACCCAGGGAGGTGGTGGAGTCACCATCCCTGGATGTGTTTAAGAGTCGTTTAGATGAGATGATGGGGGATTTGGTGTAGGGCACAACTTTGTAGAGTAGGTGATGGTTGGACTCGATGATCTCAAGGGTCTTTTCCAACCTGAATGATTCTGTGATTCTCTTCTCCAGACTAAACAATTCTCGCTCACACAACCTTTTTTTGTATGAGGGATTCTCCAATCCCTTAATCATCTTCAGGGCCCTTTGATGGACTTACTTCAGTATGTCTACCTCTATCTTGTACTGGGCAGTCCAGAACTGGACAAATTACTCCAGATATTCACTGCTCACCAGTGCTGAGTATAGAAGAAAGATAATTTGTCTCAATCTGCTGGCAACGCTCCTAGTAATACAGGCTGGGATGCTTTTAAACTTCGTTGCTGTAAAGGCACATTATTAGTGCATGGTCAGCTACTTGTCCACCAGGACTCCTGATTCCTACTCTATCAAGTTGCTTTCCAGCCAGGTAATCCCCAGCCTGTACTGGTGGCTGGGGCTATTCTTCCCGAAGTGTGGAACTTGACATTTTCCATTGCTGAGCTCTCAGTTTGGGAGGGAATACTGTTGGGAGAGCTGACCCAAACTGACCAAAGGGATATTCCACACCATATGACATCATGCTTAGCAATAAAAGCTGGGGGAAGGAAAGGGGGAACATCTGAGTTATGCTGTTTCTCTTCCCAGCCAACCATTGATAAAACCCTGCTTTCCTGGAAATGGCTGAAAGCCTGCCTGCCAATGGGAAGTAATGAATTAATTCCTTATTTTGCTTTGCTTGTGCACACAGCGTTTGCTTTACTTATTACTGTCTTTATCTCAACCCATGAGTTTTCTTACCTTTACCCTTCCAATTCTTTCCCTCATCCTACCTTAGAGAAGTGAGTGAGAAGTAGTGTGGGTTTAACCCACCACAACAGTTATTGAGGAGAGAGCAGTAGATCTTGAGGTCGACTTAGCCCTCAGTAAGGTCTTTGATACTGTTTCCCATAAATCCTCATAAAGAGGCTGATGGTGAAGAATTTGAGCATCTCTCTTATGAGGAAAGGCTGTAAGAGCTGGGATTGTTCAGCCTGGAGAAGAGAAAGCTCAGCAGGACCTTATCAATGCATATAAATACCTGAAGTGAGGGTGCAGAGTAGATGGAGTCAGGCTCTTTTCAGGGATTCCCAGTGACAGAGCAAGAGACAATGGGCACAAACTGAAGCACTGGAAGTTCTGTCTGAACATTAAGAAATACTTTTTTTGCTGTGAGTGTGACCAAGAACTGGCACATGTTGTTATTTTTTTGAGATATTCAAAAGTTGCTGGACATGATCTAGGTGGCCCTGATTGAGAAGTCAGATTGGACTAGATGACTTCCAGAGGTCCCTTTCAACCTCAAAAATTCTGAAATTCTGTGACTCTACGACTGTGATTCTGCGATTCTGTGACTCTGAATCTGGGACAATGTTATGCATTCATTAAGGTTCATTTTCATATGTGGAGTAATAAGGCCTTCACACTTCCAGATCAATTAGTGAGTCTGAAATTGTATTGTTATAGAGTTAAACTAGATCTTTATTTGTCAGAGTCATCAGTTATGTTATGAGGTTTTTGTTTATCATGAAATGAGTAGAAAATGAGATGGTATGAGAGACTCTAGGTTGGCAAGAGGGGGAGCTAAAGCTTCATATGGGTCCTGTCACCTGTGAAGCATTCTCAAAGCAGCTATTTTTAAACAAAAACCTTCTCTCACTTTGCAATTAAATTGTGACTTTTGCCTTAATTAAGGGACACAAAATAAAAGAAAAATCCAACTCAAAGGATTTATCATGGGATATTATCATTGGGATGGATTAGAAAGAGGAGGGCACAGTGCTTGACTGAAAATAGCTGTGCTAGTTTAAAGGTCTGTAGATTAGGAAGTTTTTTTCTTCCCTCTTTAATTTCCTGGCTTGGATTTGGCACACACACATTCATGCATATGCGTGTGTGCACACACACACACAGAGTTGACAGCTTAGGAAAAAAATATTTATAAGACCTCTCCTTCTCTAAAGTCTTTCAGAGATGTGAGTGAGGGAACTTCTATTGCTTTCATTACAAGAAAATGCAAGAAGCTGTTTTAAATCAGTTCCCCGTGGCAGCAAGGATGTTTCAGTATTGTTTAACTTCCAAAACCCATACTGTCTAATATTGACTAAGTGAAGCTGGAATTCCTTCTTCTTAGTTCATAATGTCCTTTGTTTACCACAGGAAATAATCTTTCACACATCTAGTTCCTTCACTAATATTCTATCACCCACGAATGATGAAAGTTTAGTGCTTGTGAGAACTTCCTCAGTCTTTGTATCTTTATGAGAGTAAAGAAAGCACTCTTTGTATTTTACAATTACAAACCAGATTGGAAGCAATCAAAAGTTGTCAAAACATATCGCTGCGACTTTTTAAAATGAAATGCATTAGGTAATTCAACATGACATTTGCTCCAAAGTACCAGCTAATTAAAACAAAAAAATGAAATAAAAATAAACCACAAATTGATTCATCCTTTAAATTTCAGTTCATGAAAATTTTAAGATTTTGAACCTCTTCACCAGAGCTGAGTTAGTACTGTGATTTGTCAGACTTGGGAAAATTCTTATTTGGACTCAAAATATTTTGTTGTAGTTTGAGCTCAGAGGGCACCTGAGCACCATGCAGCTGCTCACTCCCCCCTTCCCCTCAACTCTGAGAAGGAGAAAAACAAAGCAAAAGGCTCAGTGGTTTGAGCTCAGAGGGAAACTGAACACCACGTGGTTACTCACTTCTCCCTTTCCCCCCAGCACTAAGAAGGAGTTAATAAGGCAAAAGGCTCAGGAATCAAGATAAAAACAGGGAGGGATAAGTCATCTGTTAAGATCACAGGCAAAAGACAGATTCATCAGGGGAAGAAAAAAAGAACATAAATTTAATACAGATACTAACAACAACACATAACAGACAGAGGACCATGAGCACATCTTGAAAACACCTTCCCCCACCCCTCCCTTCTTCCTGGGCTCAGCTTTGCTCCTGATATCTCAACAATGGAGCAGTGGGAAGGGAATGGGGAGTGTAGTCAGTCCTGCTGCTTCTTCCACGTTGAGGGTAGGGGAGAACTTCTGGCATTCCTCCTCTGTTCCAGCACGGTCCCCCTTTCACAGGAGACAGTCCTCCACAAACCAACTCTGACATGAATCACTCCCACAGGTGTGTGGGTCACCCTTGGGTGTTGAAATCCTCCCAGCACTGAACTACAATAGTGGGGCCTCTTCCCCCAGGGTCCCGGCTTTTTTTGAGCACAGTCACCTGGTTTGGCATGGGGCACCCCACAGGCTGCTGACTGGCATCTGCTCTACCATAGACTCCTATGGGTGATGGGGGCCGGCCCTGCTGTCTCACCATAGGGTACAGAGGAGTCTCTGCTCCAGTGCACCTTCTCCCCTTCATCCTCCTTCCTTCCACTGACCTCAGTGTTAGCACAGATGTTCTCCTCACAACTCCAACTCTTCCTCTCAGATTCCCCTTCTTAAGTATGTTATCACAGAGGTGCAGCCACCATCACTAATTGGCTCAGCCTTGGCCAGAGATGGGCTCGACTTGGATCTGGAGGAGCTTCAAGAAGCTTCTTATAGAGGGCCACTGCTGTAGCCCCTTCCTTCACTACCAAAAACCCCCAACACTCACTGAAACCCAGGACAGACTTCATTAGCTCAAAAGGAGTGAGATTTACTTGTCTTTTTTTTTTTTTTTTAGCATAATTTTGTTTTGCTGCCATAGGAACTACTAACTTCAGTCCTGGGTGAGAACACCCAGAATGTTAACAACTGAGCTGATGAGGTGAAATAAAAATATAAACAAAATAATGTTTGCCTCAAACTGCAAGTTACTTTTAAATTATATACTGTGTAGCATGCAAGACAGTATTTAGAAATATATCCAATCTGTCTTTCTATAAACAATGGAAGTATTTAATTGGAAAAATACGACTTTCTACCTTCAGAAGCAGTTTTAAAATGTATTTCTTAACATTGAGTATAGAGTCTTGAACCACGTATATTCAGCACAGTTTCTTCACTGTCTCTGGTTTTGATTCCCAGTTGTAATGTAAAGACACTATCTACTGTATAACAGCCTTTCACTACCCAAAAAGAATAATTAGTCTAGATTGATTAATGAGGAGAGCTATCAAGTCACTGTATCTGTAGCAACTTGAAAATGCATTTTGGATTGTAAATTATGACTTTATAAATATTACTTTAGTTATAAAGCAATGTCAATATACACAGCACTTCAGCACTTGATATATAGTGTACAAAATCAAAAAGTCTCTCTCCCACAAAGGGCATACAATCTAAATTTAGACCATGATAAACTGTCACAGGAATTTTGTTCAAGAAAAAAAAAAAAAAGTTACATTTTATGACATTGAGTCCACCAATTCTCTTTTTTCCCCTTTTTGCTTAAATGTTATGAGTAGCTGAGGAATTAGCATTAGAAATTGCCATGAATCCAACTATGCTAGTTCATCACTAAGAGGAATATAATAACCCATAATCTTGAGACTTTCTGTTCAAATGTATCACTTAATTCCTTTTGTCATCTGTTGAGCTTTTTATTTATTTTTAGCTTGATGTATTTATAACTGTCACGTAGAACTTGATTTCAAAAACACTTCCACATGTGAGAAACAGTTAATAGCAATTTTCTTATCTTTGTTTCTGTCTACAGCATAGGATTTCTTCTACCCACCTTTCATACTTGTCATGACCAGTTTGTCAAAACCATATTGATATCTACTGCTAATTCTCCCTCATAATCTCCAGAATATTCTACTTCTTCCCCCAGAGACACTTCTTTTGTCTTATATTTACTTCAAGAACATAAAGGGATGCTGCATCAGATTATCTTCGTTGTTGATTGATCTGATTACATCACTCTCATCTTTGTATTTTTTTCACTGAATCCCTATCCCCACCATGTCAAATTCAACCTCCAAAGCTCTCTCTGTGCTGCCAGAATTATCCACCACCCTTTTGGTCCTACCTTTGTACCATTTTTGTACCTCACCATAGAATTAATGTGATGCTTGTTTGTTTTATCATACACTTATGAAAA